AATTGCAAAAAGCTTCATGATATTAAAACCACAGAAAAAGATAAACTTGCTAAATCACTGAAAGATATAATAACTAAAGATATCAACTCCAGTAAGAAAGTAGATATGGAACATATCATATTCATCATATTTGCAATACTCGATAGCGAATCTTTAGTATTTTTGAATAACATAGCAGGAGATTATACTAAAAAAGTAAGAGAATATTTGAGGGCTAACTTCAAATATAATGATCAGAAGAGTGACCTCGAAAAAAATAACAAGAAGATTGATTACGAAAATAATGATCAGAAGAGTGACAATGATCAGAAGAGTGACAATGATCAGAAGAGTGACAATGATCAGAAGAGTGACAATGACCAGAAGAATGACGAAGATATTGATAAAAAAATTGATCGATATATTGAGAGGTTTATTATGATTAGAGTACTAGTAGAAATTATTTTAAAGAATATTCCACTTATTATTATTATGGTATGTCAGTAAATTTTATTTATCGAGCGTATACAATTTTTGATATAAATATTCAAATATCTTATTTTACATCTTTTTTAAATAGTCGATTTATACTTCATCAATAGTGATCTACTCTTATATGCCGTTTATGGCATTGGTAACGTCCTGCCTGAAGCTTTTTGCAATTATTACTATAATATATCGTCGTTTGAGAGATTTCATTTTAAAAAATTGGTATTCTAATAAAATTTAAATGTCTTAACGCAGAAACTGCATAGTGACTATGTAGTTACGATTAAATTTAGTATAATTATGTAATTACTACATCGTTACTATGCAGTTACTACATATTAAGATATTTAAATTCCTGTAAAGTTCAAAGAAAATTTTTATCTATATATTGCAGTATGTCAATTTTTGGTTATTTATGCAAATTATATTATAATTCAATAGTTTACTATATTTATCAATAAATTTATAATATATATATATTTTTATACTAATGGCGCTTCGCACCACCCATTATTCGATCGTCTAAGTATTAATTTTACAATCATACTGCATCGAATCTTAATTGCATAAGGTAGCTGTGCTAAAACCAGGAATGGACAACGATTATATCAAAGTTCTGAAAATTAAAATTGCATCCAAAATTGCTCATGTGATCTACAATCTCACTTTTTATTTGAACAGATCAACCCTGGGTCATAAATTTTAAATTTGGAACTGAGTCTACAAAATGAGCGTTGGTGAAATGAACAGAACTGCTAAATAGACATTGGCTATAATTAAGTCTGCATTATAAGTTACTAACTAGATTTTTAATAAGTTAAATTATATAAATCAGGCAATTCAGAATTAAAATATTTCGAAAATAAGTAGGAGTTTAAAAATCCCATTTCTGTTTTAAAATTCCGAAACCAGAAAACGAAATAGACGTATTTTTCTGATGATATATTGTCATCATAAAAAATATATATATAATTTATAACCACTTTTTCAAAACAGATACTTCACTCATTCAATTCGAAATCAGAAACCTGAACATTAATTCTGAATCACCCTATCATATTAATTCTAACAATATAATGTCCGTTTGTTTCAAAAGTTCCAATACACGGTCCCTACTTTTAAGTGACCTTATAGAGATACATGATCTCTATATAAGGTCACTTAAAAAGTAGGGACTGTATATTGGAACTTTTGAAACACCCGGTATAATAAACGAATCATCATAAATATACCGGGTGTTTGATAAGTACCTGGACAAGTCCTTTTTTGTATCTCCGTGGTATCAGTGATTTATTTAGTGATTTGGTGATTTATTTAGTGGTCAATAAAAAGGTCCTATCCAGGGACTTATCAAACGTCCGGTATAAATATATACTTTAAAATAAAAACCAATATAAAACTAACATAATAAATGAATGAGATGTGCGAGAAATGATAAACCCGATATATCTAAGCAAATAAAACTATGGTATACTATAAATTTTAGTGGAATAAAATCAATTTAATACAATAAAAATAAACTTGATATGTAGCATTATTTACTGTGAGGATGTGACATTTATAAGTATATTTATAAACAGGCTATATTAAACTAAAAATTTCTTAAATACAACAGTTTTATACTGTGAGAAGTTCAATTTGGTCAAAATACGCAAATTTTGTACAAATTTTTTAATATATGTATAAAAAATAACAGTTCACCATTAAATTTGACTCTCTAATATTCAATTTCTTGTACGATACGTAAATTCTAAAAAATTGGCAGTAATTAATTAATAGTAACCAATGATGAAATTATCTAGTAATCTTTGTAAATTTATTTACCAGCATTTATTTTTGACAACCCTTTGCATTCTCATAATATCATCGAATTCAGTGACAAATTCCCTTGATTACATTAACTATACAGAGAGTATATCAGGTACCTCATACCCTCTTAATTCACCGCAAGTAGTAGACGTTCAAACTTATGATGATGGAACAATTCTTGTTAGTATTGCACGGGAAATTACACAAAACAAACAAGTAATATCAGGAAATCCGACATATAATTGTATGGGACAGAATTTAGAGCAAATATTACGACTAAGATTAATTCAAACAGATGGAAGCATTAAAGAAATTAATCCCCATTTGAACCTTGATCCTATAAATTATTGCATATTTAATGATTCATATGGAAATCCTGTGAATCCTATTTCAATATTTCCTTTATATAAACCGTATATTCTAATAAATTATGTGAAAGCTCCAGTTTTAAATGATCCTACAACTTATGAAGAGTGGGGAAATGTCATTGATTGGGATGGTAAAAATATAAGGTGTGATAACGATTTTATATTTGTAAATTTTACGATTATTTTAGATTAACATTACTAATATCGATCTATTATTTTGCAAATCAATAGTGAAGTATATTATGGTCCGTCTTACAGTTATTATCCTAATGGCAATTTTTCAAACACTCCGATTTGGAGTCCACGAAGTTTAATTCAGCTAAATGTAAACAAGAAACAAGGATTTTTTAGACTCAGCACTACAGAATGGCAGCAATATTCAGTGTAATTTCATGATCATTATTATTTTTTTAATTATTTTAATTAAAATATTTCATACCGATAATAATTATTTATTATATTATATAGTGATTCTGGAAAAATATCAAGACTGACAAATAGTAATTTTTCAATAGTTAATTCGAATACTAATAGTTCTAATTCTTCTTACATGATCACGACAATATCCACTATCACTGGCGACTATGCTATATTGACTGTCAACACGTCATTGACGGGGAACAACACTTCATTATACACACGCGCCGGATTGTTTATGACCACTATACCCCATAATCAGTCTCACGCAAATGACCAAGTTCTTCTATATCAATTAAATTTTCCAAATTTAAATTTTATTGGACTTTATTGTGACATAGCACCTAGCGGTATCGGTTATGTATGCGTAATTGAAATTAGTACTAATCAAACGCAATCGACTTATGCGAAAGTTGATTTCTTAACATCCGCATCGGTGACGCAGATCACTTTACTAAACAATAAGCCTGACATTAGCAAAACTGGGATCACGTTTCAAGGTCTTGGAATGCAAGCAATGGCATTCGGTGGTTATATATTTTATGCTATGAATCAAAATAACGGTTATTATTATATTTGGGCTTATGATGAAAACAACAACCCTATTGGGCAAGTGGGAGGAGGTTATCCTACAAATAAATATGCAGCAAATGCTCTTTATAATCATATTAACCAAAATAATCTTAATGCTGCAAATGGTATTATGAGGAATAATAATACTTTTATACTCGCATCATCCACACCCGCTACAACGACTTCGTGGTCTCTGTACAAGATTCCATTACCTATGGTTATACATGGTTATAATAAGCTTCTTTATTTTATGAATCTGTTTTTTTAATATATTTATATTAAATATCTAATATTTTTGTTATTTTATATATTTTCTAATGTTAATATTTAGATAATGGATACGGTAATATTCAAGTAGTTAAAATCGATCCATCACCCATTGATAAAGAACTTACGAGTATTAGTGGCACTGTCGATGCAACGACAAATACTTTAAGTATTACCTTTAGAAATCCTGTTATTCTGTCAACCGGCTCTATCACCATTTACAAAAATTCCGACAAAACAATGAGGCAAAAAATTTTGGCAACCATGCATGATCACGTTAGATATATAGATAATAACCATACGATTGTCAACATAGACATCATTAGTAGTACATTTAATCAATACGGTGAAAAATATTATATGCAGATGGATGCTAACTTTGTCAGGGATGAAAAGCTCTATGAACCTTTAGTAGGAATTGATGAAGGGATTGTGAATTATAAATCAAGTAATATTTTCGGTTTATTTATATTTTATTTTTTATTTACTTACTTTAATTTATTTTATATATTTTATATATTTTAATTAATCATTTTTATATAATTTAGCAAATATACCACGTCCTTCAGGTAATAATAAGATAGGAATCCTCACAGGTTTAAATTTTTAAATCACTAAATTCTTATTCTTTGTTTGTAGAGGAATCTGCTATCTATGTAGCTCGTCTCACAGTGAAAAAAAAAACCAATATTAACAGGCTATTCAACTAAATACATGTTTGATTCGAATACATTCTTTAATTTCCCTACAATTATCAAATTCGTTACACTTTGTCATTATCATTACTTCCCTCTTCAATATTATCGCTTTTCTTTCCATCTTTTCCCTCTTCTTTACTTTCCGTTTCATCTTTTTTCTCTTCACTGCTTCCCTTTTCATCTTCGACTTTATCACTTTTGATAAACAAATTAAGTATCGATTGAAGAGTCGTAAGAAAAATCATAAAGGCAGTTAAACATAGTGTAAGGAATGGAATAATACTATAAGTCACAATTAATTTAAAATATAAAATCTATTCAAATAACAAAATAAATTATTAATTAATGTGATTTAGGAGTAAACAAATAAACAATCAACAATAAAAAACTTTACCTGGGTA